TTTTTGCAGAATTTCTGTTTGATATTAAGGCAAATCTTTAAAAAAATCTCAAAACCTACTACAAATTTTAATTTTCAATTTTTTCCCATAGACAAGAGTGGGAAATCTGCAATTTAAGCCTCCCTCTCCTCCCTTGTAAAAGACTCTGGCAAAAAATTAAAACTATTGGGTACTATTTTATGGGGCACAAATTAATATTAATTGCCACTTCAACCAAAAAAGAATTGTTGTAAACAAGTTTTTGTTGTCATGTAAAAAGTTTTGGAAGAGGTTTTAAAGACCATTGGATCCATGATACAGTTTTTTTTAAAAAGACCCCAAAGTGAAATTCGTTACTGAAACTAGTGGTGCTCAAAATGGCACAGACTTTCTCATACCAGTTAATTTTCTAATCTCTTTGGTCTGGGTTGGGTTTTCATTTTGCTCCATGCTCTTTCCAGCCATCTATTGCCACCCAAAGTACATTTTTTCAATTTTTCTGTTCCCTAATGGTCGAACTGAAACATGACTTAGAGAATATTATAGAAGAGTAAAACTTTGTCCCATATGGAAATTTTCGTTAAAAAAAAATTGCAGTTGTTTATGAGAAAATGTTTGAACATTTCCAAGAAAGTCCCCCTAATGTTTCCAAGAAACCTAGTGTTTTAAATAACTCATATTTATTTTACCATGAAACATAAGAGCTTCTGCTTAGATTACTAATTAAAATCAATAATCAATTACATTACAAACATTTTGCTTGTTAAATAATAATTTTGCATTATCTTTGTAGTCTAAACACTACTTTTTTATGGTTGTTGGCATTTCTCTACAACCTGATCTGTTTTTTAAATGCCCTGTGCTTTTTTTCTAGGGTGAAGATAAGCCTAGTCCAGTACTGCATTCTGTAAAGCAAGAAAATACAGACAAAGTGAGTGACATAATTCCATATTGAATTATTTTTAAATATGTTTGAAAGTTTGCTACTATCCATGTGAAAATGGAACTATTTTGTTCCATTACCATGTATCATATAATGTGTAAGTAATTGATATTGAATATGATAATGAAGCTGCGGATTTTTGCCTATTTGCCTATTTTTTTCCTTCAATGAAAAATGAAATATTTTAGGTTTCTTCTTCATTTTGGGGCTGTAGGAATATTATATGACAATTTTATAGTGAAAATGCTTATTTCACTAATAAATGCCTATTTTGTGTTTAAATCCCTAAATGTTGCCTATTCTTGTATTTGTTGATCAAAATGCAATTATTCCAAAAATTTAAAAGATTGTACTTTTTTCATGGAAATATTTCTGTATATTACAACATTTCAAAGAAGAACTGCATTAGAAAAGGTTGGTATCAGCGCCCAATATATAAATGCAGTAAAAGATTGGTATGAGAATCAAGAAACAAGAAGAAAAGTGGGAAAGGAAGTTTCGCAGTCATTTGGACAAACAATGGGTCTGAGACAAAGGTGTTGTCTATCACCCTCTTTGTTTAAGATTTACCTCCAAGAAAGTCTAAAAGGATGGCAAAATATGTGTCTAGGTATGGGATTAAACATTAAATGAAGATTGCCTTCACACATTCGCTGATCAGGTGATTTTGTCCAATGAGGAGTTTGACATGGAGTATATGATACGAAAGCTTGCAGAAACATACAAAAAAGCAGGATTAAAAATCAATTTCCTCAAAACAAAATATATGATAGTGGGAGAGGAGAAAAGAAATTATATACCTATAAATGGAGATCAGATAGAAGCATGCCATGAATTTAAATATTTGGGTGAAATTATTAGTGAAGGAGGAGATCCCAGAAAAGATACGGCTTCAAAAATTGCACAAGAACAGCAAGCTATTAGAAAGTTAAACTCGCTGCTCTGGGGAAAAGAAATATCCAAGTGTACAAAGTATAACATTGTATGGTGCAGAAACATGTGAACTAAGGAAAAGAGAAAGAGAGAAATCAATGAGCCTACAAATGGATTTTTTGAGAAGAAGTTGTGGAGTATCTAAAATAGAACGTATTAGAAATGAATAAATTCTTAAGCAAATGAAGGTTCAAAAATTAATAATAGATGAATTGGAAACACGAAGGCTGAAATGGTTTGGTCACATGAAAAGTGATGTGGATGTTGTTGTGATGTGATTGATTGTGGGAGATGGTCCTGATGGTATGCGAGTGGTTTCCTTTAGACAGAAGAAAAAGAGATAGACCCAGAGAGGAATGGCAGAATCAGATTTTGAACGATATGCAAAGAAGAGAACTAGAAGAGAATGACTGAAATGATAGAGCGGTATGGAGATTGGGATGCGAGACACAGCCACAAGAGCTGTAAAACACTTGCAAGAAGAAGAAGAAGAAGACAACATTTCAAGAACAATATTAAGTTTTTTCAGGGTCCATATAAGTTACAAACATTATTTATATTATTACTAAGATATTATTAAAAAAATTTCTTAAAGTGGATCAATATGTGCAAAAATAGTTGAATATGATTGCAAATAATTTGGAAAAATGTTTCTTCTCATTCAACGCAGAAAATAAAAGTATTAAATGTTGGGGAAAAAATTCTAAATATAATGTTGAGAACACTTTGGAATTATAATAATGTCAAATATTATAGGGAAATGACAAGGCACTAGGCTGGTGATATGTTTTATTCATTGTATTTATCAAATACGAAACATTTTACAATTTTTAATGTAGCAAGGAATACTTGATCTTATAAATCTTGTCAACATAAAGATCTTGTCAATTTGAAAGACAGAATTATTGATTATTTGTCTTGAACTGTGATTAGTTGTTGGGTAGGCCGGGTTTCCATTTTAAACGTTCAGCTTCTGATTGATGATTTAACAGAATGCATGTTATATAACAGGGTGTTTCTACCACCACATCTTTTCTTGACTGATAGCCAACTGTTCACCACTCTGGTCCAGGAAACAGGTGAAGATAAAACCACGTAGGGAGCACTGATAACAACATTCCAAACGAATCTTCATTGGTACAAAACAAGCTTTATGCCATTGACGATAACTGGTTGGTTTGTTGTTGTTGTTGTTGTTGTTGTTGTTGTAGGTTCAGATTCTTCTCAGAAGGCACCTTGAACTCGTGACAATGTTAGATCGTATAACAGTGGAGAGCAAAAAATTATTGAAAAAGTGGTGAAGGCATGCAAGTGGGAAAACGATAAGATTTTTATATATTATCCAAATAATCTAATTAGACTGCAGAATAATTATTTTGGGACCACAATCTTAAAATAGCAATTTCCAGAGGAATTTGAATGATACGGACAACAGTCATTCAAATTCCCCCCAAAATGTGTGACCCAAAGGCATCATTCAAGGAGACCGCAGGTGGGAGATACCTGGTTCGGGAAAACATCGCTAGCCGACGGTAGGTCGGCGCCGGATCCCGCCTTCCAGCGGGAGAAGACCACCCGACGAAACAATGCACTACATTTACCGGACTAATGACCTTAGCAGTAGACGCGCCTGCTATCACTGACAATCAATCAATCACAAGGGAATCTAGTTCACTTTTGGTCATTTTGGACATATTTCGTATTTAATAATAATAATAATAATAATAATAATAATAATAATAATAATGATAATGATAATGATAATAATAATAATGATAATAATGATGATGATAATAATAATAATGATAATAATGATGATGATGATGATAATAATGATAATTACATTATGTCGTTATGAAGCCCTTTTCAGAGTTTAAAATATGAATGTTCTGATGTTGTTAAGAACACTTACAACCGCCTAAACAATATAAACATTTCTCTGAAAATAATTTCTCAGTAATCATTTTACTCCCATTTTTCTCAAAAGTTTGCTAATGTGACGCGATTCCCTGGTTTCTTTTAGCAGATGGTTTTAAATATGCCCTGTGCTTGGTTCTAGGATGAAGATAAGCCCAGTCCGGTGCTGCATTCAGTAAAGCAAGAAAGTGCAGATGAAGAGAGTGTCGTTATTCCTCCTTGCGTAAGTTTTAATTGCGTTTGAAAGTGTGTTACTCTATCCAAGTGAAAACGGAACTATAGTAAAATCCCACTTTTACGTTATCTCATTTTACGTTTTCCCGATATTTACGTAATTTTTCGGTAGTTCCGTCGTAATGTCTACTTACAATGCATGTCTTTTGGGTCCCCCGTCTCTCTCCCCCTCCCTCCCTCTCTCTTCATTCTCTCTTTCTTTTTCTTTCTGTCTCTCTTTCTTTCTTTCTCTACCTTGCTTTCTTTTTTTTTATTTGTTATATGTTTTACTTTATTGTGTACATGTGTTTTATGTGGAGTAATATAGTGAAGATTCATAATTATGTAATTCTTTTAGCAGATGGTTTTGAATATGCCCTGTGCTTGGTTCTAGGATGAAGATAAGCAAAGTCCGGTGCTGCATTCAGTAAAGCAAGAAAGTGCAGATGAAGAGAGTGTCGTTATTCCTCTTGGTAAGTTTTAATTACGTATTTGAAAGTTGATGTTTACTCTATCCAAGTGAAATCCTCTCTCTCGTTCTTCTCCTCTCTTCTCATCTCTCTTTTCTTTCCGTTATTTATATATATATATATATATATATATATATATATATATATATATATTATATATATATATATATTGATGTATGATATGATATGATATGATATGATATGATATGATATGATATGTATGATAGATATGATATGATATGATATGATTGATATTGATATGATATATGATATGATATAGATCAATGGATATTTGATTGATATATGATTGATATATGATATGATATATGATATGGATATATGATATGATATAGATATGAAAATATATGATAATGATAGATATGATATATTGAATATGATATATGAATATGATATCTGATTGATATGATATGATTGATATGAATGATATGATATGAAGATTGAATGATATGATATGATATGATTGAATATATATATGATATATGATATGATATATGATATGATATGAAATGATATGAATATGATATGATATGATATGATATGATATGATATGATATGATATGACTATGATATGATATGATAATATATGATATGATTGATATGATTATGATATGATATTGATATGATATATATGATATGATATGATATGAATATAATATGGATTATGATATGAATGATATTTGATATGATATGAATATTGATATGATATGATATGATGATATATGATTATAATGATATGAATTGATATGATATGATTGATATTTGATATGAAATGAATTTGATGATATTAGATATAGATATGTATGAATGATGATATTGGAATGAATATAGGATGATATGATTATGAATATTGTTGGATATTAGATCATTGAATATGATATGATGAATATGAGATATATAGATATGAATTGTATGGATATGATATGATATTGATATGATATATATGATATGATATGATATATATGAATTGTATGATATGATATGATATGATAGTGATATGATATGATATTGATATGATTATTGATTGATTGATATGATAGATATGATATTGAATGATATGATATATAATGATTGATTGATTATATATGATATGATATGATATGATATGATATTGATATGATATGATATGGATATATATTATATGATATGATATTGATATGATTATGATAATGATGATGGAATTGATATGATATGATATGATATGATTATGATATGAATATGATATGATATAATGATGATATATGATATGATAGATATGATTTATGATATGAATTGATATGGATTATATGATATGATATGAATATGATATGATATGATTGGATAATTGATATTATGATATGATAGATGATGATATGATATGATAATAATGATATGATATGATTATGAATGATATGATAGATAGATATGATAATTTGAATTTATAATGATATATAGATATTTGATATGATATGATATGATAGATATGGAAAATATGAAAAATGAAAAAAAAAAAAAAAAAAAAAATATGAAAAAATTATGATATGATATGATATGAATATGATATGATAATGATATATATGATGATATGATATGAATATGATATGATATGATATGATATGATATGATATGATATGATTGATATGATATTGATCATGATTGATATGATATGTGATATTGATATGATATGATATGATATGATATGATATGATATGATATGATATGATATGATATGATATGATATAATATAATATTTACTCCCTTTTTCGTCACCAGGGCACGGCAACAAGTTTTTCTGTCGAAAATTCGCTGTTTTCTCCCATGGCATTACAATACTTTCTCCGTACTGCATACGTAGTAGCGAGAAATTAAAATGTGAAAAAATGTAGTATCTGTGGCGATAGATGGTAGCTAGGAAGAGGATTGGGTACACCAATGAAATTATTAAACTAATTAGTATGAGAAAAGCTGCCTTTCTGTAGCTCCAATAGTTTCAAAACGTTAGTCCGTCTGTCGTCTGTGAACAAACTAGCGCGTAGAGAAAAAATGGCTTAAATTTTTTTCTTTACATTTTTTGTAGGGTGTCAGCAAAATAGATAAAGATGGCATACGCCTGATTTTCACAGGTAACTTTTTAATTTTCGAAAATTGCAAAAGTTTGAAACTTTTTCGACGTATTCTCGCAAATCGAAGATATAAATTAGTATTTCCAATTAAATTTATTCCCCATTACTTGTTATTTTGTTGAGGCCTTGCATATTTTTTTTAAAAGTTTAGTTTTTGTGCAATGTTGTGAAGTGTATGAAAAAAGTAGGAAGACTGTAGTTTATTGAGCTTTCAGCTGTACAAAAATGCCACAATCCAAATCGTACAGTAAACAATCCCGGGGTAGAGAAAACAAGTCCGTTGCTGTTCGCCTGCCAGTAGATGTAAAAGTTCGGAGCCTAGTCACCGACAATTCCAACAGAATAAACAGATTACTTGCGTAGTGTGCGTGATGGAATTCACAATAATAACGTTCACGCACTCGAGCACTGTCGAAATCTAATCTGCCTTTCCAGGCACCAGTTACGTACGTGCTGCCGCTGCTGGCCCATACATAATGCAAACGTAAACATAAGCATAGCACGTAGGCATTAACATAAGCAATAGACATGGCCGGATTTAAGTAGTGCGGGGCCCCAAACATAAAATTTTGTTGCCCCCCCCCCGGAAAATAGCTCCATCTTTATTAAATAAAAAATGTATTATAATACAAGTACTTTCTGTACAGATGCAAATGAAAACTGATAATTTTTTATAGAAATTTTTACTTGTGTTACATTTTTTTACATTAAATACATACATAATTACAAAATAATTTACATATTCAGTTATAAGTAAAGGGAATAAAGTATAGTTCATATTAGATTAATTTAACATGTAATAATTTTTTTTTTTAATGTTTTGAAATTGTACATTTTGTTACACAGTAGACATCTTGATTAACAAATATTTCACAGACAAAAAATATGGTATGCATATTTTTCTGAAACGTAGGGTCCCTGGTGAATGGGGGCCCCCAAGCAACTGCTTGTTTTGCTTGTAGGGAAATCCGGCCCTGGCAATAGAACAAAAAATGCGATAGAACTAGTACAAGAAAGTCTATGGCATTCAGTAGAATTGTTAACTTATTTCTTTTATTTTGCCATGTACATCAACCCATATATTTAAATTGATCTTTTCTTTAATCCAATTGTTTAGTGCACTGTGTTTACAACAATTGATTGTGATTTATTTGTCATAGCTTATTTCATTTTTAAAATTTGTAGCTTTTACATTTTTCATTTTTTTTACAGATGTTAGATCAAAAAGGAGTGGACGAATACTATAAGAAATTATTGGAATCAGTTGCTAATATTAATTGTGCATTGCCACTGTTGGATTTAATCATGTTCCCAGATATGGCTACTGAACTTCTCAATGAACACGAGGGAGAATTAGTAGCAAACGAGGATGAGAAATTAAAGGATGAAATATTGCTTTTGTCACCTCAATTTAGTCAGGTGCGACTCGCTTTATGGCTATCTCTAAAGAATAATGTGTATTGTTTGCGCATGGATGTGGAGCCTGTTATGCAGAGAACATTACTCATTCTCACTGATAAGAAATTAAAAGAAATGGAAATGCAACTCTACCATTTGATGGATATGGGAAATATGGACAAAATTACAAGAAAAGTGGAGAAGTTGAGAATGGATTTATTGCATGAAGAGTTGCATGCCATTATGAAGAGAAAATTATCCGTGCTTTTTAAACGCAAACTGGAAGAAATGATGTGGCAAGTGTGGCATATGATTGATGAAAGGTTGGTGATAAAAAGCAGAGAAAGCACTGGAGCGCCGGCGCATGCAATTCTGCTCCAAATGGGAAGTTGGCTTTCGCAGACAAAGGCCCTTATGGAGAAACCATTATTAACTGTTGTTGAAAGTTCAGTGAAAGAAATGGAGAGGCAAATGTGTAATTTTGTGGAAGCAAGGTTGAGGTTAATAGTCGAAGGAATTAGAAAAAATAAGGAACGAATAACTGCAGCTCTAAGGCGAGCGGGAATCCCAGAGGCGCTCATTGCTGGGCAGTCTTGTGTATCATCTGAAAAGGCTTCAAGGGATAGTAAAGAAGAGGTTTGTTCTGTTGCTACAGTGAAAATGGAAGAAGTAGGTAAGAGAGAGGATGCTCTTGAGAGACCTGATGAAGATTGTACAAGCGTCAAATTACCTAAATTGGATACTTCGCCAAAGAGGCCAAATCTTGAAGAGAAATAGTTAATTGAACTAAAGCTTGTCATTTAGCTTTTCAAATCAGACTTTTGTGTGCCATGAAGGAGTGCATTTGGAGCAAATGACTTTTCGGCTTAGACAAGGATTTATTAATAGCAGTCTTTCATGGTAAGGGAAAGGAAAAGAGCATATGAAGGAACACTTAAAAATGTTCAGTTTTCTCAGGGTTATGTGCCTTTGCATTTAGCTGCAAAGAAAGAACACGTTAATGTTCTGGAATTCATCTCATAGATGGTACACACACAAACGAAGGGCAGATAGAAGTAATCACTCCCTTGATGGGGGCCGCAAATCAGTGCCCTGCTTCACGCTTTGCTTCAGGATCTCAGCTGGTGCAGTTGTTACTGAAATAACTGGGTATAATTTCTCTTGTGTTCCTAAAGCAGAATTAATTTGATGCTCCTGAGGAAGTCTGTTCTCCCAAATTTATTTTAAGAAGTTATTTGTATTAAATATTGTGTGTTAAATGTATAAAACTTGTTTATTAGATTATACATCTGTCAGATTTACTGTTATTAATCTTGATATTCTAAATTTCTTAAGAATCTTATAGGTTGGGTTTCATTATATCTTAGTACATTGATAAGTTCATGTTTTCTGACCATTCAGTTTTGGTCAATGTTTTTGTTTTTTTAAGAATTTTCAACTTCGTAAATCTGTTTCGTATTGACTGCAGTAATTGTGATTTGGTAGAAAATACTGGTAAGGAAGGTAGTTTTGGGAAGTATTGGCCTGTGGTATTAGACTTCTCCACACTTTTATTAGTTAAGTGATATTGTTTATAAGTCTGTAAGTTAATGTATTTTATTTCTGTGTGCAATGGTTTGTATATGATTTTTGCTGTATTGTGATTTTTTAACCACCCCAGTGAGTGATCTTCATTTTTGCTCACATTATGTGATTTTATGTATGTGCAGTTTCATTTCGCTATGTTGATATGATAATTTTAAATTTGAAACTGTTTTGTTATATTGTGACAGTAATAATTTTGCCAAAAAGTTGTATGTTAGAAGGATTTATTTTTCTCATCCTATTTCTTCAATGATTATTGGATTTATTCAGATTATAATTATTATTAGAATTGTTTTATTGAGTGTTAATTATTTGACAATAAACAAACTTGAAAGTGCAGTAAGTATTTTATTTAGTTTCCCACAGTACCTGCTACAGAGTACAGGAAATTTGACTAAAGTTTTTGAAAATTGACATTTTTGTTCAGTAATGAATATTGTAGTTGTATTCCTTTCCTCTGCACGTTTTCTTAGGTAAATTTGCAGTGTGTTACTTTACTTAAAAGATATTCACATGCATGAAAACTTTTAAACTACTTGCATGGCGGTTAGCTTAGGGAAAACTCTGGATACCTGTTTTGGTGTTGTGATGAATCAGTGTTATAAGAAAAACTCTCATTGTAATATGAGAGTTTGAAATTTAATAATGAAAAAATGAAAATTGGTGACAAAATAATAATTTTGTTGAGCTCAAATTTTTTAATAAAAAAACAACAAATTACTACTGCTCAATGTGCGATCTCACAAATTACAATCTTTGAAATTGTGTTATTTTTATTTCGATAGCCTCTCATGTAATTAGGTGGCCTGAAGAGCCAATATCCGAACCGTTGCTCGGTTGGTTACACATCACAGTGTATATCTCCATTTTTCCTTCCTCGACTGGGAGCCTCTGTGGCCTCGGTGACCAGCTGGGGACTACTGGGTGAGGTGGCTCAGGGCCTCCGGAGAGATCCTGGGCCTGCGACTGCGGACGGGCAGTGGCAGTTTTTTTGACACTAGCTATTTAGCTAGGTCGGATTCAGCTGCTGTCTGGAGGAGAATTCTAGCGGTCGGCTGCTCTGGTAGGTAGTTTTCCGTGATTTCTCCGATCAACACCAGACGAATGCAGAAGCAGTACCCTAACGCTACGCGCAATCTTTCCTTCCTCTTCCTTGTCCTTTCATTCACTTCACATATACTTACACGCACCGCGAGACCGATCTGGAGTTTGCCTCCGCTGTGGCGTTGCCCCGCTGGTGTGCGATACCTGGTTGAGGAAATCCCCGCTAGCCGATGGTAGGTCGGCGCCTGATCTTTCCATCTAGCGAGTGACGCAAATGGAAACGCACTACACTTACGGGACTAATGACCTTAGCAGTTGCCACGCTCGGAATTATAATAGATCAATCTGGGGGTGGGGGCAGTAATCCAGACAGGCCCTAAACGGACGGCTGGAGACAAAAGGTCAGTTTCGGTCGACTCTGCGCGTCGACTGTAAGGGCCCCTTCGCACGGCGCGGCCGCGGCGCGCTTCGCAGCAGCGCGGCGCGTAGCAGAGCATTGGTTTGAATGGAGGCCTTCCCGCGTGCAGCGGGTGGCGGCTGCTGCGGCAGCCGACGCCGAACTCCCGCCACGCGAAGCGGAGGAGAGCGTATGCACCACTGCTGGCAGAACACAGCTTTAAATGGGAGCCTTCCCACTGCGCCGCCGGTCGCAGTGTTTTATCTGCTGCGGTCCCTTTGTTCGTCGTCGCCGGAGGGTCGGCGAAACATACCCCTGCAGAACCCACCCCCTTCCACGGCGGGCGGCGGTGGCTGCGGCAGTGGCGGCGTCGGAAGAGCTCTGCTCCTTGAAGGAAGCGCGCTGCGGTCGCGCCGTGGGAAGCCGGCCTAACTGACAGCACTAATACCCGCGAAGCAGCACCCACGTAACGCCTTTTTGTTCGCACTTGAAGTCTAGCAGTCTTTGATGAGTGTGGCAGGTTGCGACAGTTCTAGGATCGTTTACACTTAATGTTTTTTAACGGGCATTGCTTGAACTCATAATACACAAACAATATCTTTCTGGGACCGGCTTAGCTCAAAGCATCTGATGTTATTGCAGTGCCTCTGGCCGGGTAGTCCTACGGTTCGAACCCGACAGTGGCAGAATTTTTGACACCGGTTCAGGCCGCACTAGAACACCGCCCTCTGGAATATTCCAGAGGGCCCTGACTAGATTTACAATTTGAAGGCTAAAAGTATTTCCTGTCAATTCAGCCAAAACATGAAACTCGTTCAGAGAAACTCTCTCACTTTTGTTTTGTTTTCATTCACTTGTTGCGTGATTGATGACTTCCCATTCTGTACTTCAGATATATACTCTCTGTACAGTTTTTCGTTAGAATTAAACAAGTTTTTCATTCATCTATAAGTTAAAATATAACGTCGGTAAACAATTTAGCTAAATAAGTTTTTATTAGCAGTGGCAGCTCCTTGAGGCAAGCAAAGTAAGCACAGCCTACTAGTTTAATACATTTCATTATAAGAAAAAATTAATAACTTGCAATTTAATATGGTGTAAGTATTATTCATCTGGAAATTGGTGGTGAACACTCCCCCTCCCCAATTTCTTAAAGTTATTATTATTAGAAGGCACGCTAGAGGTTAACGAAACATATGATCCAGGTTCCCAAGTCTAATAAATCCAAAATTATTTAAGATAAAGAACAAGACACGAGTTGTAAATGAAATAATTCTAGAAATAGACAATTGTGTGACACGTTCAAAAGGTTTAGTAACTATGAAAATTAAAAAAAAAAAAAAAAAAAAAAAATTGATATAGAGGAATAAATAATATATTCATTTTAAAAACATGAATATGAAGATTTCCTCAAAGGATTTGACGTTACAAAATGGCTACACCACGTGTTAGAAGACTTTTTTTCTAAATATGGCATTGGATTTATCCACTTTTTCGTTATCATGGCCCCGTAATACGAGTTTTTCTGGCGAAAATTCGCCAACATTTCGCGCAGCATTACGACATAACTTTATCTTTTTAAGAAGTTCCTTCTGAAGCGCGAGAAAGCAAAATGATCTTGTCAGAAGAATTCGACAGCAAATTATTAAGAGGTATACCCAGGGAACGGTGCCATACGGACATTAGACAATGTATGAGCAAACAGGCGCCGATCCACGAGGAGGGAAATCCCTCCCCCTAAATTTTTTCCGTAACTATTAATTTTAAATTTTCACGAAACTTTCAAACAAAAAATATTTTTGGATAATCATTAAAATAAATAGAAATCGTATCGCAGTATGAGCTGAATGTAGTTTGCGACATTTTACAAAATCGGTAATAAACGTTACAGATTCGAACAAAAACATTTTGAATTTCCCCTCCCAAAATTTAGCTTTGAAATTTAGCTCAGAATATGTTTCTACTATACATCAATGAATCAGACAAAAAAAAGTGACATATGTATAAAAAATAAAACAAGAGGCCAAGACAAATTTGAATTAATGTCCCACTTGGAACCAGCTACTGAACCAAGTAAAAGCATGTCTGTAGAAAGCATTCGAAATTTTGGAGGACAAAGATAAAAAAAAAAAAATATATATATATCCACTCGTTGATCGACGCCATACTTGAATTTATTTTAACATCAAAGACACCGAAAGACCCAGAACGCCACATATTTCATCAAGCTCGTGAAGAAAGTGTCGGCATCGGATAAAATTGGGAAAATACAAGCGAATCTATATCCGGGGACAAATTAAAAAGAATTCAAGGAATTTCAGGAAAAGAATTGAATTAAACTCATATTTACAGCAGGAAATACACCATTTTTAAATGGCTTCAAAAAGAGCCTGAATCATACTCTAGTCAATAAATACGTTTATATACCCTCGAACATTAAAGCACTACACTCTCTGATCTGCGCGTGGGCAGTTTAAATTCTGCTTCACTTTCGTGCATCTGCTCATGCACCAAGCACCATGCACCATCTGCTCATGCGCATGTGCTCGTGCGCCAAAGATCGAAAATGCTGTCCGCTTTGCCGTGCACAAATTCCCCAACGGAAGGCCGTTGTCATCATGTCATAATTGTTTTGGTGTTCTTATTTAGCAAAACTGCTTTTACTTTTTCTCAAAGATGTTATAATTACACTAGATTGCTAACTCGACCTTCCAAAGTGAAGCCGGTGCGCCATAATTAAAACGGGCTAAAACTACAAACAGGCAATTGACAGCAAGGTGTAGTAAGTGTGGTTGCTGTGTGTTTTTGTGCGAGTTCGCAATGGTTCGCAATGCCAGACCCGTGCTGTGCGTACGGATGTACGAACCGACGAGTTAAAGGAGGGAATACACAATTTTTCAAGTACGTACTGTGCATTATACTTGTTATCATGCTTATTTCTGGTTATTTGCCTACCTTGTGAGAATCTGAATGATAAATCTATGCTGTTGCAGGTATCCTATGAATGACGAAGAGGAAGCTGAAAGTGTGGGTTATTGCTGTGAAGGGGAAGGATTTTGTTCCTTTCAGGAGCACCTGAATTTGCAGTGATCATTTTACAGAAGATGACTTTTATGTAAGCCCAATATTTATGTACCACAACTGAAGAGTGCAGGGTGTAATTTAGTGTTTGATAGCATGGCTATCAATGTTGTGTGGGATCCTAAAGCATATCGGTTTGTGGGTAATTGTGACTGTGGTAATAAATTTGCTGTGGAAGGTTCTGAAGTTTCTGCTACTGAGGCATAGGTGTTCATGCTGGTTCCATTGACAAGTGGAAGTGGCCAATTGGGTATTTTTTTGTAAATAAGCCGAATGCACTTGTTGCACTTGGTTGTGATATTTATGCCAGCAATTTTGAAGTAATCAAATGTAATTTAAAGCATCTAACTGCAGGATATAGTGTGTATTTTTTTGCCGATGCATGCCACAACTTGAAATTGTCTTGTAATGCTCTTGGAACATATCTAAAATTTAATGCCCCAGATGAAAAAATACAGTGGTTCTTTATTGAGAACGTAGAGAAAATTCAGTCTTCCATATCATTGAGTTTAGCTAACAAAGTCGCATGAAATTGTGTAGAATTGAATCGTAACCCTATGAAAGTAAAGTTAGCTGCTCAAACTTTAAGTTCTTCAGTTGGAGAAGCACTTACATTTTTAGATATGTCCCAAATTAGTGTGTTTCAGGGTAGTAAAGCTATTGTTAATTTCATTCAGGTCGTAGATCGAATCTTCGACTTCGTCAATAGCAGAAATGTTCTTACCAGGAGCTACAAAAAAACCCTCTTTTTTGACAATGTGATTAACAGAGAAATGCGGATTATTGAAGCCATAAATTATTTATTTATTCAGTTTTC